GGGCGAGCCTGACATGTCTCAGTACTGGTCAAGACTACAGTAGAGAGAAGAGCTACTTCACCCTTTAACCACCCACTCCACCATCGCCCTCCGGCAGTGCTCCTCACACATACACGGCACAGGAGAGTAAAGAAGGAGAGAGGGTTGTGAAGCAGCAAAGGACAGGAGAGGAGGAGAGAAAGAAAGAGACTCTGGGAGAGCCTTGGGACGTCTGGGCTTTTGTTTTCCAGTGGGACTGTGTGCTGTTCTGTAGCTCTAGGCACATTCAAAGGAGGACTTGGAAGAGAGAACAACAATGGATAGACAGAAAAAAATGGACCTCTGTAAAGTGCCCGGTGTTAAATTTTTATGGAACAAAAACGTATCTGTTTTTTTTTCTATTTCCAACTTCAGTCATTGTTTCCTTTTTTCTCTGGTGTGTTAGTAAATGGCCATTTGTATGTTAATATGAAAAACCAAGATCAAGTACTGATAGATGGACTGCTAGAAAACCATGTTGGTCTTGCGTTTGTTTGAGAGAGAAGAACCTGAGAGATTCTGCCATGACTATCTTTTGATCTGCTTATATCGAGACTTTCTACCAGCCTTTGCATGGTCTCTGGACGCTGTTGCATATCATTAAGACGAAAAGCTGGAGGGAAGACTCTTACTGTGTCAAAAAAACAACTATTTATTGGTCTTATTTCTTACGAGTGGATTTTTAGCAGAGGAAAACTCAAACTCGATCCACCCACTGAGGCTGTGGTCTTGACTCCTCTGATGTGGGCCTGCGTTTGCCGGCCTATTAAACACGGATCTCTATCAACAGCTCAAAGTGTGCAAAGACGGCACAACATGCGACACAACTCGGACCTCTTGCTTCGGTGGTTGGATTGACTCTAGATTACCACGAAGAACATTAAACGTGGGAAACAGGTGTAAAAGAAAACCTGTAGTCTGTAAATGGTAGACTGCGTCTTCGATATAATCCAGTTTGTTTATGTCAAAATGTAAAGTACTTGTCTTCCCTAGAAATCTTCCAGAAAGATTTCTCCAATAAAAGTTGATTTCATTTATATCCCTGAGAATATTCTATAAATGTTCCATGCATCATGAAATACATTTCTTTAGGGTCAGGTACAATGTCTCTTAGGTATAGTTGTATTATAGTGTCCTATGGTCGAAAAAAAAATTGTGCAACTAGAAATATTTAATTCCTATAATTATGATTAAACATTGCTTGACAGAGTTTTAAACTTAAGTGTTTGGCAGTTGTTTACAAGTACATATCAGATTTAATCATTGTTGATTGTAAAACAGACCAAAGCCTTTGTATTTCATCTAGTACACAATGTTTTTTTAAAGATATTAGTCTTGTGTTGCAACATTTTGTAAACACGTTCTGTTCGATTACATTGGCTTCGAGTTCGTAAGACTGCAGTCGAACCACGCAGTCCTTATTTATAATTGAAGACCATGGGAGGGTTTTTCTAGCATCATCTGTCATGCTATTTTGAGTTTTGCATTTTTATTTCAGTGTGTACGTAGAACATGGACACACACTGGGTTTACGTCTGAGCAATGCTTCTGAGATAAAAAACGTCTACACGCTGTCTCTTAAATATTTCAATTTAATTTTTATTTAAAATGGAGCTTTCTAAATGTATTTTGTGAAAACTATAAAACATTTTGTACAGTAAAATTGTGTCTTAAAGAAAGCCTTTTTGCCTGTTCAATGTTCTGTCTTATAACGTGTCCATATTTACTGAGCAACACAAATATTGACACAATGCATCATAACCTCACATTTTAACAAATATAAATGCTGACAAATGCCACTTCAAGAGCTTGTTTTACGCACAACACCTCCAATTCCCACCGAAACAAAGGTGTCCAAAAAAACAAAACTCTCTTGATGTATGGGCTGAACCAAGTCGACACAGACCACACAGCACAACACCGCCGCACAATGAGAAAGGTCAAGCAATTCAACATCGCTGGCTCTTGTTGTACTAGAGTTACGATGGTATGAAAAAAAAAAATACAGAACCAATGAAGAGAAGAAGGGAGCAGAGGAGAGAGAAAAAAAAGTCATGGAATAAAGCAGTCAGTGCCTAGAGCGAGGCAAAGGAGCGATTGTGTGGCAGAGTGAGTTATTTTGCTTCACTTGCTGCCTCAGCAGGGGGGTTGTGTCTGTGTGTATGTGTGTGGAATGAGGGGGTGTGTTAGAGAGAGAGAGAGGGAGAGAGAGAGCATCTAAAGGAAAGGATGTCCAGGAGAGAGCGAGGTCAGGTAAAATTCACACAGCATGTCACAGCGGCAAGTATCGTGCTAAACTGATTAATTGAATTTACACGTCTCACTTAATATTTAATAGTCCAATCAGAACTTCGAGGATTGTAGGTTAATCAGATCTTTAAGAGGATTCATTTTTCTGTAAAGCTAATGCAGTTTTCTCTGTTCATTTAATCCAGTTTATCACACAGACAGAGGAACAGTGTTTTGAGAGCAAGGGGAGGCGTAGGGGGGGTTGACAGGCAGAAGAGGAACATTAATAATTACAGAGAGAGAATTCAAAATAAATTCAAAATGCAAAAAAAAGACTGCAATTAGAGGAAGTCTAAATAATATACAGCCTCGGGATAAAAAGGTTTGAATGTAATTCTCCCTCTGAAACCAAGTCAGCCAATTCAAGTTTTGGGAAAAGTTTTACAGAACTTTTTTTGATCTGTTTTTTTTTAATGAGACACAATCATTCTGACCTTGAAATCTTAATTCCCACAGAAATACAAAAAAGTGTTGCTTTAGGTATTTTGTACATTGTCTTTGACAAATATGGTGACCTTGTGATTTAAGGCTGGCTTTATTAAACCAACATTGGCAGAGAGAGATGTCCAATATGGTAAAAATGTACTGTCCCACATTTTGCTACTTGAATAGTGCTGCACTGTGACGGACATTCAATAATACAATCCATAAGACCTCAGCTAAAGCTACTGCAGGAAAACAACCATGGCTTTGGAGAGGAATCAATAGGACATGAGCGGAAGCTATAAAGACACGATAATAAAAGCATATTCTCAGCCGTCGGTCCAATGGCTTCCTGTCGTTTCTAAAGGCTAAGTGAGGTTTTCAAGAAGTAGGTCTCTGAAATTTGCCAACAGCACTGAGTGTCCATCTTATGTGTCGTTGTTGCAAATGTTATTAAGACCAAATGCAAACAAGACAAAAAAAAGCCTAATATGAGGTACTGCCATTTCCCCCCCAGGTTTAAATATTTAATGAGCTGTTATAAAACATGTTATACACCATTATTGAAATTTGAGCAATAAGAATGGAGGATTAAGAGAAATCAAAAATAATAAAAGAAATATATATGTCCGGATTGCCGTATAAACAGTACTATTTATTACTATAGTTGAGGTGAGAAGGATGAGAGTGTTTGAAGAGCCTCACGTGATATTAATCCAGATAATACTGAACAGGGAAGAATACGTTATTCACCTGAAGTTCAAGTCATTGTGTTATTGTGTTCAGAGGCTTCAATTCATTGAGATTTCCTTGCACCCTGAATTACTTTTCATACTCATTAGAACATGTGTGACTAATTTAGCCCGTGTATTATCTAACCAGATGTAACCGACTAAATCTGAGGAAAAAATACTAACACTTCAAATCAGGTATAAGAAGTCATATTTAAAATATTTACATTAATGTTGAACAGCTGTATAATGAATGAGGCTTTCTTTATTATTAAACTGATATTGTACACCTTCAATGGTTGCAGAACTTGAAAATTATGCACTTTCTGAACTTACTGAACAAGTCAATCCGCAGCATGGTGAAATGCAGATGTACAATCTGTAAGAAACTGTAGTATGTCAACATAAACAAATGCCAAAATGAATTGATTCTATTTTATTCCACCTTTACAGTGTACCCTGGATATGTCAGCTCTTGCACAACAACTACTTGGAAAATATTTGTTATCTTGACAACTCAAGCTTTTGCTCACCTGTATAAGTGACCTGTGTATGTCATCTCTCTTTCTCATACACCCGATATAAGCGCACTTCATTCATGCATGAAACTGTCAGGTAACACTACCCTCTCGCAACACGTGCTGCAGATGGTTACCAATGCTGCCAGTTTTCGCAGGCAGAATTATTCAAACTGGCATCAACAGCAGACTGAGGAAAACAACAATGAAACATTTAATTTTTCATGTTGTTTTTTTCTCCGTTTCTCCATGTCACTATTTGACCTAATTTGTTCTTTTGGGCTTGTCATGGCAAAGCAGCTCATCCAGCAAACACGCCTGATGAGGTGTGAAGCCTGCACCCAAATCCAGCTCTCCTACCCTCTGCCCACATTCCTCCCGAGCTCACCAGCTTAGTGGAGGTGGACGTCACTCACCGGCACCGTCTCAGGGTCAGATGGAGGCATCCCTACTCCAACCTGAAACCAGCGATGCAGACCAGAGATCAGTCATTCATAACACACTCACTTTACATCCTCTCACAGTCTCACAGGCAGTCAACATTTCCTTTTGGTGTTGAGGCGCAGTGAAGTAAAACATTCATAAAGAGCATATATTGTGTACTTTGTATTTATTACATTTTATTTGACTAAACAAAAGCACATTTCTTTGCATTATCGAAGAGAATAAACCGCTCTTGTGCAAGGTGGAGCTAGGCAGGAGTGGCCATTTGTGTTGTGTACAGTATTCTCAGAGCCTGGGAGAATGCAGATGAATTATTTAATGTTTACCAAGAGTGAGAGTCTGTGAAGACTACCAAATATTCCATGATTACACTTTTCTCAAAATCCCCACAGACAGAGAACAACAAAGTCCCAAATCTTAAATAACCTTACATTTTTTTTAATGAAATGGGTTAGGTTCTAGTCATCATACCATTCATTTATATTTATATTTATATAACATTTCAAAAATACCATAAGGTATTATATTTATTTTCTAACTTAAAGTTCAAATATAAATCATTGGCCAATCAATTCAGTTAAATAAACTCATCTTTATTCTTGGAATGTGCAAAAAAATAGTGTACTGCTTTATTTAAAAAAAAAAAAGGACTTGAAACATGGGATGAAATGTCCGTTATGAGACAAAGCACTGTGGATGTTTAGATCTTCACCCCTGGCTGGGACAGTTGGCAGGTGGTAAAGGCTGGCAGGGTTATCGAGGTTGACATCATGTGGGCAAGGGAACAACCTGGTCGCCATGGTAAAGAGGACAACTGTGTGGGAGCGCTAGAAGTCCAGGTGTTTGTTGCCGGAAGAGCCGGAGCCACAGGCTGAGGCCACCGTTGTCGCTCCTGCCAGCTCCCCCCTGCTCACACGACTCACCGTGTCAGACAAGTCTGGAGGCAAGTGCAGTCTCTACAGAAATCAGAGAGGGAGAAAAGGGAGAGAGAGAGAGAGAGAGAGAGAGAGAGAGGGAGGGAGGGCAGCGTATTAGATCAGGTTGTTCGGAGAAAAAAGAAAGCACTACAGTGGATCAACATACAGTAGATGGTACACTTCAGTGATGTTTATTCACAGAGAGCCATGTTGGGTTGAAATTGCATTAGATGCTTCAGCACTCCCCTCAGCCCGGCATGGTAGAGCAAACCTGCGAGCGAGCTGCTAAATGCTTCAGAGAGCTTTGGGGTCTGTTACAGCTCACAGGGAATATGTGTGTGTGAGGTAGGGGCGTTTAGAGAAGTTGTGTATGGACAACAACAGTGTGCATTTATGAGGCGAGGTAAGAAAAAGTGTGAGTTCAGACAGATGTGAATGTACAATCTGGATGTGTTTGCACTTGTGCTTCGTTAGTAACACACCTGATTATGTTCAGCTTATGCCAGAGTCATTAGAATCAAGTGTTTTCGCTGTTTCATAAAGCTTATCTATGGAGCAGCCCTGTGCCAACTCATAGCACAAAGACGCTAAGAGGTTAATAAGGGCCACTCGTGTAAAGCCCCCTAACACCAACACGCTAACTACTATAAAGCTTAAGAGGGGGCTACACTGCTCTGCTCCCTCCAGGAGCCACGAGAAAGGCCGCTAGTGGCACTCAACCAACAAAGTCTTGAAGAGGTGCTGAGAGCGTGAGAGGAGGTGAAGTATCTCCAGAGTCAAGGGGACACCCGACAATGGTGTTGAGTAGCATGTTGCTCGAGTGTCTATCGAGGAAGTTGAATCAGAATACTGGCATCCCGGTTAGAAGAGAAGTTAAACCCTGTAATTTGCCCCTGAAAGAATCTGCCATGACATCTGACACCCATTGGTCAAAGCCTCCCACCCGAGCCCTCTAAACCTTCCCTGCCCACCACATCCTTACCCCCTCCAGACATGCAGCTTTAGAAGAGCCCTTCCACAGATACTTATCTTTTTCTTAATGACTAGGTATTTGGGTACAGGGTTTAACAGCGTCATTACTAAGAGATAATTCAGGACAACGTAACACTCTTCACCCCTCTAGGGTAGACTACTTCCTCCATTTGCTTAATACTGTCTTTTTAAGAGCATTGAAACGGCTCAGTCTGAACTGCAAAATGTTTTTACATCCCTGATTTTCATGTCTGATATGAAGCTTTGTTCTCCTACTTCAGTAGATAACAGCTCAGAGGCGCGACATGCTCAAGTGGTCTCTTTTCTGTCCAACACATTGCCTTTGTGTGTGTGTCAGAAGACTGTTTGTCAAGCAAGTATAGAGGAAACAAGAGGAGTCTTTACGCAGCCCTGCAGATTATCTGGGGCAGGTGAGCTCTGAGACATTGTGAAGGACCTATAATTTAATGTAAGATGGTAAAGGTAAGGTTACAAAGGACGTATAGAGGCACAGATGGAAAATGCCATTGGGAGAAAAGACAAAAAAATACCATATTTAGCATTTACTTACTCTTGTGACAACCATAGAAAAAAAACGATTATCAAGTTGCTAAAAACACAAATGATAAATTAGGTAAAGTTCTCCCTGTATAACCCTTTCTCTGATTCCCTCTCTCGCTCTTTAACACACAAACACACACATCTATGCAAACTCAAATATTGGCCTTGAGGGGGCCTCCAGAAGCTCCAGCTTCCACCGCTGCCAAACCTCACCTGTGTAACCTTTCGTGTCTTCAGCTCACTCGAGTGTGATTGAAAAAGAAAAACAATGCATTGATCAAGCCCGGACTCAGTCCTGCTTAGTGCACTGCAGCGGAAACATGGTAGAGAGAGGGGTAGGAGAAAAATCAATCACATATACATCACCCCCAGTGGGTGAGTAAAAAAAAAAAAGACATCACACCGTTGTCTGGCTGTCACGCACCCATGGGCCTGGCTACACCGTGTCTGTTTGGCTCTGAGCTCTGTAAACCCACTGAGCATGTGCAGAGCGAAGGTCAAAGCAATCCAGAAGTGCAGCTCCACTCCTCTAACCTTTGAGTTCAGGGGCAGATAAAAACAATCAATGATAACATCAAAGTTGGAGGGAGGAGCAGACAAAACCAATCGATCGGTTTGACACACAGAGGGAAAAGGGAGCCCAGTAACAGTCAGAAACCCTCCTGTTCATCAGTGACAGCCAATACAAGGGCTGATAACTGTCATTGGTTATCAGGGCCATGAAAACTTACTTTTATTCAGTTATACTCCAAATAAACTGCTTTCATACCAATATCAATGCAAGTGAACTGTTCCACACAATCCAATACAAATATTGAGATTCATTTTTTCTACGATTTTGATATTTACAACCAAATATTCGATGGCAGCCAACTGCGGGTGGGCATAACATTTGCATTGACACCAAATGAATGGAGGTCAGTGTAGGACCTAGACAGACATAACCAGGGAGGCTCTGAGTCTGCTTCCCTACGACCTGCACACTCCATGATGTAAACAAGGACATCCGGAAAACCCTCAGAGGCATAGTGGGGTGTATGTGTGTGAGAAGTCTTTCTGTGCTGCCTGGCAACCTTCATGAGAGTGGAGAAAGAGGAAGAAAAAAAAAAGAGGGGGTCGTTGGATGGGAGTGAACGGCGGGAAAATATACCATTGGCTGTGGTGCGTTGGTGGAGTTGGGGTGGGGGAGTTTGTGAAAATGGATGTGTGCCACAACGCTAGTGTGAGTATGTGTGTTAGAGTTGTGATGTTAGTGTTCCCTCCCTGGTGGCGGACGGGGGTAAAGGTCCGTGGTTCAGCTCCGCTCCACAGCCAGAGGGGCTAGGGCCATGCTGGCAACAGGATGAGGGGTGACAAAGCTCCAAACGAGCGCTAAGCACTTGAAATGAGCCCTCAGGACCAGCCCACAGACTAGCTTTGGCTAAGAGGGTTACTAATATCACCCTACAATGGACAATTCCCTTTGGTTTACTAGACGCCCCAAAGACACGGTTCTTAAGGAATATGGTGTTTAATGCTGCCTGTAAGCGGTCATTCGTAATCTCTACATACAGCATATCACGTCAGCTTTTTACGGCTGGTAAAAGTGACCAAATCACAGCATTTTACATTTGTATTATGTCTTGGTTATAAGTATTACAATGTTATGTAAGTGCATTATATTTTCCAAGATCCCAACGTACCAATTTCTCCAGTAGAGATTAAACAGGACCTACTCAACACAAAGCAACACCATCAAAGGCATTCCACTGCTGGTAACGGCTTGCTAATGACTGGAGTATTAGGTGCTAATTTAACGAGTCATTTCTTCCATAGAGTTTGAGCCACACTTTCAAATGGCCCGTGTCACTGTACAGCTTAGAACTATGGGAAACCCAACACCTTGTTGGAACACATGACGAGCGTTCGGGCTGCTCAAATCAGATTAGCCCACGTTGGAACATGCTCATGGAAGTGACACGATATTTACCATAAACACCTACTTAACACAATCATTGTAGTAATTTTGTCAGCACATTATAAGCTCTATTGAAATCCTTGAAATGAGAAAAAATGAACATTGTTTCACTAAGCTGAAGTCATAATAATCACAAAGTAAATGCTGACAAAGTAATCTGGCTATATGCTGTGAATGCATGAATAAAAAGTTCCAGTTTTTGTATTGATGCAGAGGACACTAATATACTTTAAAAAAAAATACCATCAATGGAAAAGTCCAGTATTCATGGGCAGTGGTCACATTGGAGGTGATACCTTTTGCCAATTCCATTTCCCTGAGCAACACAGCTGCAGTGCAGTCACTGTAAACTAATGTGAACGTCTGTCCATGACACCAGGTCAATGTCCTCTATTTCTAGTCCTATTTCTACAACCAGCCAAGGGTCAAAATGGTAGCAAAACAAAATTGGCAGAAATGTTCCAGACTTGCCTATCCATTCTCTAAACCAAGCTAAATCACCTCCCAGTGTCGTAATCCTTCACACCTCTAAAGTTACACTGCATTGTGTGGGAAATCATTTGCTGATCCTATAGGAACTAGTTTTAACTTCAGCACACCAACATCCACATAATGAGGTAATGTGCTTTCCTATTGGATAAGCAAACTATCTTCACATTTACGCTGGCAATTTCACAGAATACTTCCGCTTCCTTACAAGATGTAGAAAGAAACCTGCATAAATCCCATCACTTTGGTAATTCTAGCCCACCTGCACCAACAAAAGCTGAGAAGAAGCTTTTCCTTCCTCCCCTTTTTCGCGATAACAATGAGTGCAACACGATCCCTGGCCTTGCCCTAAGAATAACCTGTTAACCGGGAACATTTTAATCCCTCAGGTTTTGTCATTTTTGGAATTTAATTTGTTTTAGTCACTATTTTTGTGAAAAGTAAAAAAAAAGTAAACTCATTTATCTTTATGTCCGATATTCTACCTGCAGCCCTCACTATTTAAAGCATGTTATGTTGGCGATTAGGGATTAAAAAAACTAACCAATCAATTTAGCTTAGGCTGAATCTGTATAAAGTATAAAATAAAGATAATAAAATACATTTTATAAAAATAAAATGTAAGGGTGGGTACATTTTATCATGGTCATGAGTGAGAAGGGATGAAAGAAACAAATGTAAACTACACTGGAGCTCATCTCGAGTTTCTTTCTGGTAATTGGGTGCTGGTCACCTGCCTGCCATGTCACCTGCTGCCTGATCCGGGATAATCTGAGAGGCATACAGACAGTCAGGCAGACCGACAGAGAGACAGATACAGAAACAGGCTTCTCATCTCTTCTGCTTCACGGTTAATGCATCTGACAGAGTAGGCAGCATGCAGGCAGAAGGATGAGTAAGCATTTTGAGTGTAATTATATTCCCAAACACTGGAAGAACAGGATGGGACTAATATTTGAATGAATTTCATTAAAAGTCAGCATGTCCAAGCAGGAAATTGATTGGCTGACAATATTTCAAGGTTTTTTAATACCTAATGGAATGTTTTTTCCAGTTCTCT